AAAAAAGATTATTTGTTCTTCTCCTGAATCCCCCCCGCGCCCCCTATTCAATGTTGGGACATGTAACAACAATTACGCACAAAAACAATTTAGTTTTGTCCAACATTGATCCAGGGGCGGGGGGGGACAAGTACCAAAAAGGTAAAAATTGGTAACCTTCCCAACATTTTTGACGATGATTGTAGATATTGCTAGGAGAAAATTGATACTCTGGGGACTTGAAGGGTTAAAGATTTAACTCTATGATGGTAAAGTCATCTCCGTGTTGTGGTTTCCATTTAAACTGGTTTACAACTCCATTTCCTTTCTTTTTCTATCAATTTATTAACATACATTATCATATGACAAAGGAAAAAAATTAAACCAAGCATAAAATTGAGCCACAACACCTGCATTAAGCATGTTTTCCACAGACAATGAGGGTGAATATGGTTTACATTGACAGAGCATAAGGCATAGTAATCTGAAGAGAAAACTTGTTGAAACAGCTGTGAAATACACTGTACATGCACTCTGTGACGTTGGTTTGTACTATTTTTGCATTGTGCATCTTGATCAAGCAGAGTGAAAGACAGCTTGATTCAGAGGGAGAGAAGTAAAGGGGCCAAAATTGATATCAGACATCTGAGAATCACGTCAAATGAAAGACCACCCGCTTCTTGTGCTAGGTTATATAGATTGAGCCAAAGCTAAAAGCGAATGCTCCCATTAAAGAAATTATAATTTAAATCAAACACATTCATGTGCTTTTGAGGAAAAGGCTAAATGATTTTAAAGGGACTGTGACACGCTTCTGTGCATGAGTGGCATCTTGATTTCTGTTCTGGCGAACAGTTTTTCAAGTTTACTGTCAGGAAAGAAAATCTCTTTCCATCGTCCTGTTTTGGCTAACGAACCTTGTTGAAACCTTGTAAAAAGAATACTTGATCATCTTTGGGCGATTCTAGTGGTATATGTGTGTATATTTTTTAAAATTCATTGAGAAATTGGATGTCGATGCGAGAAGGTCCATGGGGAGGTGTACAAAGCGGCTAGGGACGGAAGCTGCTTTCCCCTCAAAGCCGGTTTGCATCTAAAGGAAGACAGAAAAAGGCAAAAAAACAGTGGGATGAGGATCACAGAAGGATATCTGTGGCAAGAGATGTTCATAACAGCTGGAGGAAAATGAAGTGTATGTGTGTATATTCATCAGACACGGCATTTCGCTCAACATCTTTTGTCCTTGGAGATGCGAATAAGAGTGGGGTAAGTCACTTCAGCTTTATCCTTTTAACATGATATCTTTTCTTCCCCCTTAGTTTATACACGTATCATAAACATACTTCTCCCCTCTAGTTTGCTTGGGATTGTGGCTTCCAAAAGTGGAGTGCGTGGCTGTGGAACCGAAAAAGCTCCTTTGAGTGTGCAAAGCCCATGGAAGCATCTTGATCTGGGATCGTCTGGCGAAATTCAAGGTAATCTTTGTTCACTTACGGAAAACTCTTCCTTATAAGCTATCTATTTGCTTTAGTTTTGCAGCTGCTTTGTTTTTTCGCTAGTCTTCGAAGATGTTGACTATACAATGTAGTCATTTGTTGTTTTTAAACAGATCCTCTTTATCCTGGAGTAACATCTACTCCTTCCAGAGGTTGATGTCACAGGCAGTGAAGTAACAACTGTTGGTGAGACGAGTTTCGTTGTCGAGAAAGGAGAGGTTTCTATTTTAGACAATAAGGATGATCAAGACAGTGATTCACACGACAACATAAGTAGTGACAGTGATGTGAAGTTAAAATATGAAAGGTAAATAACAGCTATCAACACCGCAATTACAGCGGTGCTGAGTTGCATTAACTGTGCTATTATAAGTCAAATTAAGGCAGTCAGTGACCCAGAAGAACCACCCACCATGGTGTTTTCCAGCATTGCTGACCTTCCAGCAGAAAATAGAGGGAAAATCAGGCATTGTATTGCTTGGGCTATTTCAAGAGAACGGGAAAAAATAGAAAAGAATTTAGACGACATGTTAATGTGGAAGATGCCAAAATGTGTGCTTTGACAAACAAGAGTGGTATGGATGCTATTCACAGTTGTCATTACGTGACTTGTGTCATAGTTATTTAAATCAATACCCCTTTATTTTCGTGTTACACGAGTGTAAGTGTTCAGGTTATCTTTTATTCAGACCACCAGGGATGTGTGAGGGCCGTTAACAAAACCCTGATCAGATTGCTTGGCGGATCGGGTCACAGATTGGATCAGACTGGCATTCACCTTAAATTCCTGCCAACATGTAATGTGAATAGTTTTTCTTGGGATCGAGGGCTCAATTTTTTTTTTTTTTTTTTTTTTGGGTTTCCCGATGGGGGTTTTTAAAAAACAAAAAAAAGTAAAATCAATTTTAATTTAACGGGTGAAAAAATTTTTTTTCAAGGGTTTTTGGATTTTTTGAATCTGTCCTTAAAGTGGGTTTAAAAGAAATTAGAAATTTTGACTGATTTTCACTTTAAGCAAAATAACATTTTTTTTTTTTTTTTTTTTTTGAGGTATCCAGATGGAGATTTTCAAAAAGCAAAAGAATGTAAATGCAATTTAACTTGACAGGATGAAAAATTATTTTTGCAAGGCTTTTGAGATTTCTGAAGTCTGCACTGAAGTGCGTTTAAAAGAAATTAGCAATATTTGACTGATTTACACTTGAAGCACATGACCTAGTGTACACTATATTGCTTTGCAGGGGTAGACACCTGAGCCTGGCTAAATTTGTATCATAATCAAAACGTAATTCTCTTTGCAAAGTTTTTATTACATTCGTTCAAAGATAAGTTCCATTGCAATTTTTATAACAATGATGAAAAAAGTTCATATCCCCTTTTGCTTTGAAGGTGTAAAGTTGTACGCAAGTAACACAAAAGAGTTTCCAACAGTAAGCAAAATAAGACTATTTTAACCATTATGGCTTTACTGTTTCTCAGTTGTAAACTGAGCTGTGTTTCTTTTCAAGGTCGTTGATCTGACTGTCAGACAGTCAGGAAAAGAAACCTGCTGGTGGAAAAAAGAGACCCAATAGATCCGACGCATCAAGTGACGACCCTGGTGTAAGTCCTTTAAAGGGAAGTGGAAAGTTCTACAATGGAAAGAAATGCATCCCAATTTTAGGAAGACACAAGACAATGTTTACAATGGAAGGAATGGTGAAGACGTTGTTAAATGCAAGAAACGATAATCTATAGTGTAAAGTGCACTCCAGCTTTTATTGTAGTACAGTAAACACCTGTATATGAGAACAAATGGATTAAGAACATCACGCTGAAATTTTTCCCATAGAGCACCATATATATAACAACCAGTTCAGCCTAATAAATAACACATGTTCTTATATAATAAGGGAGAGGTTGTCACAATAAGAAAGTCATGTAACTATGATTGCTGCTAGACAATTACAATATCATAACAGTTGCCCGGGTGTGTTTAGGATCTTCTGCTACAAGGATCATGATATGCTAGATCAACAGATTTTATTTTATTCCTGAAAAAACATTTTCTTCACACATAGCCCAAGCCATTTTAACCGCTGTTTTTTTTTTTCAGGTGTCCTAGCCATCTACTTCCTTTAACAAACTTTATAATATGCCTTTATTGTAATGATGTGTGATATTCCGAATAAACATGAATAAATGATTACCCCAAAGAGTATTTGTCGTTTAGCCCAAAAACAAAACAAATATGTAAGTGCAAAATGACAGAGACTACACAAGTGAAATATCTGCTTAACTAAAACATCTCACACAGGTAAGCTTATCCAATCTGACAACTCTTTTACCTAGAGCCCAGGTTCACCAGATACTGTTCAATATATTCCATTAATGTCAGTGATTCAGATGAAAGTGTTGATTCTTTCAGCCATTCAGGATGATCACCACTTTGATGATCCTGATGTTCATGAGCCTCTTGACGATGAACGTATTCCACACAAAAATTGGCTGTCTGTCATTAGTTATTTGAAGAACCTTGGTTACCAAGCATTCAAACATTATAAAATATGCTGTTCTAATGATCATGTGAAACTTCTCGAGTATGCAACCCCATGCCCTGAATGCGAGAGGAACTGGTGTAACTACCTGGATTATTTCGTTTTGGGAATTCAACTTGAAGACATCTTTCTGGATAGAGTAACAATTGAACACTTGGCACAAGGGTTTAAAGGAAAGCCAGATGGCATAAACTGCAAAGAAACTTGGCATAATCAAACAGAAACTCTTTTGCCAATCACATGCCCAAATTGTGTCAATGTGTTGAAAAGGCTGCTCATCCTGGAAGCTCTTTGAGAAATCCCATCCAACTTCGCTGTAGCAACTGTATGTTTCCACTTCTACATACACCGAAGTTCATGAAGTGGGATCCCCTTAACCAACCATACAACTTTCATGAAGATGGATTTAATGCATTTGTGAAAAAGAGCAGAGAATAGCTACCTTTTAACTGAGTAGTGCGTGAAAATACAAAGATGAAGGTCAAATTATGAAATTGTGATCTCTTACCTAGCTGTATTAGTATATAGGCTTGATTGGTCATCTCGAAAGCTGGTGCAAAGTAGTTTTACATGCACCAAGGATGTATTTAAGTTGCATAATCTGCAAGCCACTGTTGTTAGAAAAGATACAGAGATAGAGATATGGCTAAACGCAAAAGACAGCAACTACTGGAAACTTCACGTCCACCAAGTTCATGTTCTGAGGATGAGGAAAGGCCAGCATTTTGCATACATTCTACAAATTCGATCACTAAAACTAATAAATGATTTTAACAATTTACAATGCAACTGTAAGGTAAATAAATTTTTCTTATGAACAAATCCGTTTTTATATAACTTTGACCAAAGTCGTTCCAAAATCGTTCCTTCTTCAAATTTTTGTTTTTTAAGTGAAAAAACCTTCTTATTAGCTAAGCAAGAAGGCTTTACTTTAGTTCTTAGCCAGTTCGTGAATTTTCTGACAACAATAAACAATAAATGTAATGAAAGAAGAAAAAACGGATTTTCTCAAAATCACCAAATCGTCACTTCAAGCTTTCTTTCACATACCCCTTCATTTATTTTTTGAGATCCATGAAGCATGTACGTGTTACACCATTTCTAGAGTCTGGTGGTCTTCCTTTACCAGCCACTGAAAATGAGAATGAAAAGAGATGAAAGTGAGAACATTTTCGATTCATTTATATACAATTCTGCTTCGCTATAAACAAATAAGTTCATATTTTATTTTATATTATGGAGGAGTGTTTTACTGGGAACAAAACCACTCGTAGATTCTGTACGCTACTTCATCCGGGACCCGAGTGGCGTATTTTCCGTATGTCACCTTTGTGAGTGTCGTATCGTTCGATGACGTCACGATTCCCGTCTTTTGCTTTTGTTAAATTGGTTTCTCCATATAATAAAAAGAACATTACACGTTGGCTCGAAGATATGAATTTTATGTTCTTGTGGCAAGAACAATATCTCACTCATTCGCTTCGCTCACTCGTGAGTTATTGTTCTTGCCACTCGAACATAAAATTCATATCTTCTTGCCACCGTGTAATATCCTCTATATACATGCCTTCAGTTGAGATGGGTTTCTTTTTGTTTGATACAGAGAAAAAGAACATCGCCTTAGATTAGCAGAAGCCACAAACTTTTCTGCTGAAGAAGCATACAAGTTGCTTAGCCAGGCTGCAAATATCACCCTTCAATAATGTCACAAAATGCATCAATGCAAGTTGGTGCCCCAAGTTGTTAATGATTTATTTGTACCAAATAACTACACACAACAATCAGTCATAGACAAGCTGTTTGTGAATTAGTAAATCATGTAGGCTCGAGGCCATTTAATAGTCAATAATTTGATTTGAGTCAAGTTAAACAAAGTTGTTCCCTTACTTTGTTATTTCCATAGATTTGTGATAGAAAAGCTAAACTATGCTGTTTCCCTGTATGAGTTCAATGCGTAGATGACATGTCTTGTATCAAAGGAATAGACAGATTTTAAATTGACCGAAGACTCTGATCTTCTGGCTTATGGATGCAAGAAGGTGGAGCTTCAGAGAAAAAGCGGTGAAATTTCGAGATTTTCGTTCGCTGACAATTCACGATGTTAAGTATAGGGTCATTTTTTGAATGGGTTAACTTTGCGTATCAAAGGTTAAAAATAAACTTTTGAACCCAAATACTACTTTTTTTTAATTGTTGTTGTCTGTAGTGTCTACTGAGGCACAGGGAAAGGGGAAACACACCAAACATGGGGTGGATACTGATAGTATGAGGAGGCTAATTTATAGAACAATTTTCTCTATGCTTACATTTCAAATTTTACCTAAAGCAGTTCCATTAGAAGAAAATAATAACAGCCGTCAACATGATAACGAAACGCTTATTTGTTTCTGTATGTATAGGTTATGGTTAAGACTTCAATGAATGCAGATGGCAAAGTTTTCGACTTATGTGAGATCCTGAACGGCTTGACACTTCACTTTGCCCAGTTCAAACAGATGTGTATACCTGCTGGATGTGATCACTAGAAGAACTGGAGAGGAATTGGAATTCACAAGGCATGTGATATGGCTGCAGGAGATAGGGATGTTTTAGACGCACTGATAAGCAAAGGAGCAGATGATGAGTACTGTGAGAATTTTAAAATGGCTCTTGCAGTCATCAAACATCACACAGTGTTCAATTTGGAATCCAGTTCCACTCGTCTACTTGATAAATGGGAATCTGACTCATCCATTGGAATCCAGCACCTCTGTGGATTGTATCCTTGTTCAGTTTGTGCGCAAATGGAAATGTTTTTATCATAATTGTCTTATACCACATGCAATTCTTATTAAGTTTAATGGGTTTTTCAGGTGTTTAGTACATGTTTTAAATGTCACAATAATACAATGTATTTGTTCACAATGATAGAAAGTTCTACTTACTACCGTAGTGTAGAAATCTGGATGATTCTTTAGCTGTGGAACTGGCGGTGGGGAATGTCAACACCGAAACTCATAAGGTCAACAACTTTCCTCTTGTAAAAGCAAAGGAAATATTTGCTGCCAAATAGGATGTTTATGTTTTCTCATAGTACTCTTTCTCAGTTTTTTAGTACTTTGCTGTATGCATAATCACCTCTATGTTTATACCAAGGGTAAGCAATTCGGCAATTAATAGTACCCCCCTTCCTTGTGAAGTCGTGCATGTGATTAGACTAACACATCCATTCACTACTCCTACTCTTTGATGCACGAGACTTTTGTCACCGCCTTACTCCTTTCTGTGTTTTAAGGTAAGAATATGGCTTAATAGCCACTAGTCTCTATCCATTCCGACGGTTATTTAATATTGCTTGCCCCCTTAGTTTTGTCGCGAATACTTTCTTCATTCAATCTTTTATCCTGTCCCACGTGTCGCCACGATCGATTGTCATGACTTTGTTTTCCCCCCTTGTTCTCGTTATGGCAGTTAATCTTCCCAAGGTCCATATTTTGGGCCATTCTTTTGATAAGCACTTGTCTCGGGACATTAGCAGGGGTTCTAACGACAGAACGGATTTTTATTTTGGCCTCCAGGGCTGTCTTTCAGTACATTTCTACGGCGTGAGTGGACGTACCGTTGACAAACTTCATGCTTTCAATCTTGGTGTAATCCATTTCTCTGCCCCTGAAATTGTTATCCTGGAGATCGGCACTAATGACCTCGCTAATTTGCCGCCAGAAGTGATAGGTTCGGCGCTGGATGATCTAATTCAGTTGCTTTTATCTAGTTTTCCTGTGCATGTGGTTGGTTGGTGTTATGTCATACCTCGTGGTCTCTCGCATCCTGACTCGGCGCTCTTCAGGCAGGGAGCTGAAATACTGAACAATTATGTTAGTGTGGTACTCGATTCTACCCCCAATGTTTTTTGTTGGCACCACAGAGTTTTTAATCATCCAGCTAAGGATTATTATTTACCAGATGGTGTTCATTTGAACTCTGCTGGCCAGTATCATTTGTATCGTAGCTCTCGTAGGGCCATTTTGAAAGCTTTGTCCTACCTTTAATGTTTAATAAAGCGTGGGGTTTTTGTTTTTCGCTAACTTTACCCGGAGTTTCATCCTCATGAAATTTGATCAAAAAGTAGTTCATAGTTTGTTCACCGGGTGTATCCCTTGCCTGATGCGGACGTTGACCTTGTCCTCAAATCACGCATTGTACTCTCTAAGTAGCCGAAGATTATCCTCCAAGTTTATTTTATATACAAGGTGTACTCCTTGCAGTTTGTCTTTTTCTGTCGGACATTGTACTCGTTCCATGTGGTGTATTCCACATTACAGAAGGTTATCTTCTTGTTTTTTATATGTAGGGTGTATTCTTTGCAGTTTGTATTTCTGCTGGAGTTTGTCCTCAGACCATGTGGTGTACTCCATGTTACAGAGGGATATCCTCTTGTTCGAATTTGTGCGGGCAGTTTATAATTAGGCTTTTAGCATCAACTTTATCATTGACAGGTTTTCCTTGCCCTATTTATTTCATGATTTTATTTGTGCGTGTCGTATCATCTTGTTTTTAGCCCATGTCTCGTTGGGATTCTTTTCTCGAATGGATACTACTTTTCTGGAACGCTTTGATTCTGCCATCTTTCTTTTGCTCCCTGTAATTTTAGTACTACTCAGAGATGTCGATTCAACGTTCTCCTCGCGCCTGTGCTCCATCCAACCTAGCTGTACAAGCTGCAGCCAGTGGTCAGCCTTCCAGAATGCGGTTGCACAGCGGTGGACCATCATCTGTTTCTTCCCTTGCAGTCCTTCCGCGAGGGTACAGGAGATTCCCCTGACCGCTGAAATCATCGACACCACTGTTTAGCGTGTCATGGATGCTGTAACCCAGCATGCGGCCAGTGGTTCTAGCACTGACAATGCGCAGTCTTTGGTAGTTTCAGCCTCCAGTCAGCTAACTACCAGTTCCGCGACCCCAGGTTTAGGTCCTCCCGCCACTCTGCTCGAGGTCCCCGCTGGGGCCCCACACAGTACAACACTCCAAGCTCAAGTTTCTGGCCCAGCTACCTCAGCTCCACCAGCACCAGGTCCATCAACGTCATCCTCATTTGCTGAAGCTGTTGTGAACACTTTTCTGGCCATCGCACAGGCTAGCATTGCAGGTATGCCCAGCACTCCCAAGTGTTTGTTAACCTCGCCAAGTTTGCCAGTTGATGCTCGAGTATCAGAAAAGATACCGGGGAAGATTTGGAACAGTGAATATTTCGATTTTAGCTGATTACTATCTAACCCAGTAGCGGAAGACTGTTATTAATTCACGGTAAAGGGTGTAGAGGGCAACTCGGCAGCACCAGCCATATGCCTTCAGCCGCAGCCAAATCCAAAAAAGGCTTAATACTAGATACATGGTTTAACTGTTTTCATATTTTCGTGGGCATTTATTGCCAAAAGTGCCCCACTGAGGCCTCTGCCCTCATGAAGTACGGGGAGGTGGTTCAGGATTTGGCAGCCAGAGGGCACAATTGCAAGTTTTACGATGAAAACTTCCGGTTTTTGAGGCAGTCGCAACCTGCGTCCTTCCCTTGGGGAATTGTGGATGCGCTCTCAAACATCTGTCATACGCAGAGTGTCCATCTAGCCCCCATCGTCCAAGACTCATTTCGACATCCCACTGTTAGCCTACTGTTTTAAATTCAGTAAGGGTGCCGAATGCGCCAGCTGTCAGTACAAACATTTGTGTTATAAATGCGAAGGGTCTCATCCACAAAAATCTTATCTTTTTCGTGCCCGTAGTAAAGCCTCAAAACCCCTGCCCAGGCTCCCAAACCCTCAGTCACCAGGCCACAGCCAAAATGAACTTCCCACTTAGTTTCTTTTTGTCTGGGTACACTCCTTTCATTGCAGAGCACCTTGTTTCAGGTAATAATCTCGGTTTTTCCATTCATCATGAGGGCCAACAAATCTCAAGCCATTCCCAGCATTTGATGTCTGCTTTACATAATCCAGACGTGGTGGATCTTAAAATAGAGAAGGAAGTTTTAGCCAGCCATCTGTCGGGCCCGTCTGAGATGCCTTCTTTATCTCCATTCAGGGTGTCACCACCGGGTGTCATCCCAAAGAAGATACCCAGTGAGTTAAAACTCATACACCACTTGTCTTATCCTAAGGGTTCCTCGGTCAATGATGGTATTTCTCCCGAATTTTGTAGTGTCCGCTATTCAACTATCGCAGATGCCATTAGGCATATCAGAGCAGTTGGCACAGGGTGTTTTTTTTTTAGTAGAACAGACATCAAAAATGCCTTCAGAATTATTCCTGTTCACCCTACTGGTTATAATTTGCTGGGTATGAAATTGCGTGATCAATATTACTTTGATAAATGCATGCCCATGGGCTGTTCCAGTTCGTGTCACACTTTTGAGTTATTCAGCTCTACTTTGGAATGTATGGCCCAGATCAAGTTGCACAACAATCATATTATTCACCTTCTTGATGATTTATTGATAATTACTGCCTCTCATGACATATGCCAGTGACAGCTTAATCTATTTGTAGATCTGTGTGGTCACCTTGGCATTCGCATAGCACCAGAAAAAACTTGTGGTCCAGCCACTATCTTGTCATTTGCAGGAACCGCATTAGATACTATTGAGTTAGAAGCTCGCTTGCCTGCAGAAAACATTTTGAAGTACAGAGACCTCATTTCTGACTTCCTTAAGACAAAAAAGGTGACATTAAAGGAAGTCCAATCATTAACCGGTCATCTCAATTTTGCATGTTGTGTTATTCTGCCAGGCAGAGCCTTTTTGCGCAGACTTATTAATCTTACCATTGGCATCCAGTCACCGTTTCATTTTATTCGACTCAAAAAGGAGGTGAAGGCTGATTTAAGAAATTGGCAGGAATATTTAGATGAATATAATGGCAAATCTTATTTCTTGGAAGATTTTGGCAATAGTTGTCATATTCTTCGCGCACGTTACACGCGGACCCAAGTGAACTGTCACATTTTTTTGCGACTCGTTATGTAATGTTTTGTTTGTACAGTGGACCTTTGATCTAATCGATTGACATTTGAAACTAATTAATGTATATTCACATAATCTGTGCAGTTTTTCGACTGAAGCAACATTCTTCAACATCGACATCGGGGCTAGGTTATACTGTAAATAGGCACAAACAAAATTAAAGTAATTTCAATTACAGTATACGATTCGAGGTTATTTTACATGGTGCCCAACGTGGGGCAGTGAAGTCCACTAGACGATTGAAAGCGATCCGAAAGCAACAAAAAGGTAAAGGTTGAATCATGGCAGAAGATTTGGACAATTAAAAGCGATCAGAGGAGGACATCGAGGAGTAGCAACAAAGCTGATAAGACAAGGCGAGGAAATATTGGAAAGCACATTCCTTTTAACCGAAGATTACGAGCGTCTCTTTGTTATTTATCAACAACTGGACACGAAATTGCAAACACTAAACGATTACGACCAGCAAATCCTAACTGTGTGTAATGTGACAGATATCGAGGCCGAGATCGAGAATTCTCAGCGAGCTATAGAAAAGGTTATGGCATGCAAACGAAAAATCGATTTGAAGTTGAAACAAAAATCAAGTGGTTCAGGAGACAATCACAGCGAAAGTCATTCGAGTACAAGTCAAGTTCCGGCGAGAACAAGTCAAGCGAAAGCTAAGCTACCGAAATTAACTTTGCCCAAATTTCGAGGAGAATTCACAAAACGGAACACTTTCTGGGACAGTTTTCAATCCGCCGTTCATGACAACCCCGAAATTTCTAAAGTGGATAAATTCAACTATCTCAACTCAGTGTTAGAGGGACCGGCGGCAAGAGCCATTGCTGGATTAACATTGACAGCTTCAAATTACGAGAACGCCGTGGGAATTCTTCAGGATCGCTTTGGCAAAACGCAACAGATTATCACCGCGCATATGGACAAATTGATTAAAATAGCACCATGCCACAACAACCGTCCAACAACGCTAAGATATGTTTTCGACCAGATAAGAGTTCACACACGAGGACTAGCTTCGTTAGGTGTATCTCCTGAGCAATATGGAAGCTTGTTGATCCCGATAATTATGTGTAAACTGCCTAATGAAATTCGACTACAAGTGGCTCGAAACTCAACGGATGAAGTATGGAAAATCGAAGAATTGTTACTAATGATTAACAAAGAAGTTGAAGCTTGAGAAACCAGCAAACAAGTAAAACAAGTGAAAACGACCGCAAGCCTTCTACTGGAAAACCGCCAATTCCCACCGCAAGCACGTTGTTTGCCAAGCAAAACGGCGGGAAAAATACACCCCGATGTGTTTATTGCAAGGAATTGCATTATTCTGCCTCCTGTGAAAGGGTTCAAAATCTTGTTCAACGCAAGGAAATTTTGATGAAAGAACGAAGATGTTTGAAGTGTTTGGCTCCAGGTCATATTGCTAGTTCATGCCAAAATGAGAAGGTTTGCCGCCATTGTAAACAACGCGGCCATCATCAGTCAATTTGCCCGACGCTTTCACCTTGTGACAGCGGCGAAAGGAAGAGAAACCAACCTGAAGGGGATATTACCAACACGACTACAACGAACACTGTTAGAAACAAAGGAACAGTTCTTCTCCAGACAGCGAAGGGTATTGCTTTTAATGAGGACAACTCGAAATCGTCCACGTGCGTATATTGTTTGACAATGGAAGCCAGCGAAGTTACATAACAAGCAATTTGAAGTCAAAGTTGAATTTGAAGCCTATGAAAACTGAGACACTACACTTGAACACCTTTGGAGTGAATTCATTTCAAAGGCAAAGCTGCGAACTCGTTAGACTCAGACTTTAAAATCATCTTGGCAAAGAAACCGAAATTACTGCCTTGAGTTATCCCACTATTTGCTCACCATTGCCTTCCAAGGTTAAAGTAAACTATCCTCATTTGGAGGGTCTAGCTCTAGCGGATAGTTTAGATGACAGTTGTGGAGACATTGATATCCTTATTGGATCAGACTATTATTGGGATTTGGTCAGTGGTGAAACGATTCGAGGCGATTCTGGTCCAACAGCAGTCTCTTCCAAATTTGGCTAGCTTCTTTCTGGACCCACCAACAATTCACAAAACGAACCTAATGTCGTTTCCAATTTGGTCATATCTGGACAGCCGCATTTTTCAAACGGAGCAAAGGAAAGCGGCGAGATGGCGGACATACTGAAAAGAGTCTGGGACGTTGAAAGCCTAGGAATTGTTGACACCGACTGTGAAAGCGAACTAATCAAACGAAAGGGAGAAATTAAGTTCAATGGTAGTCATTATGAAGTCGGCCTGCCTTGGAAGGGTGACTGTTTACCACAATCTAACAATTATGGGATGTGTGTAACAAGATTACGATCTTTGCATTCGAAATTAAAGAGTGAGCCGAATTTCCTGAAGGAATACGACAATATCATTCAAGAGCAAAGAAAGAACGGGATTGTCGAAATTGTGCCGAAGACCGAAGATCAAACGCCAAGGGAAGGCAACCTTAGCACGAGACGAATTTACTACTCACCACATCACGCAGTCGTGCGAAGAGATCGCGAAACGACAAAGGTTAGAATCGTGTACGATGGCTCTGCGAAGAACTGTAAGGACGAACGCTCTCTTAATGACTGTTTGGAAGTGGGAGAAAACTACATTCCTCACATCTTTAAAATGCTAACTAGTTTTCGCTGGAACTCCGTCGCTCTAACCGCGGATATCAAGAAGGCGTTCTTGATGGTCGGAATCAAATCGGATGACCGAGACATGCTACGCTTTCTGTGGTTCAAAGATCCGCTTGCCGAGAAGCCAGAAATCAATGAATATCGATTTAATCGCTTAGTTTTTGGTCTGAGGCCATCCCCTTCTATCCTTGGCGAAACCATCGCGCATCATCTTAATCTCTACAAACAAAGTGAACCCGAAATGTACGAACTGCTACGCAAGTCCCTGTACGTGGACGATCTTTTAACTGGCGAAGAGAACGACGAGAACAGTTTCGTTGTTTATCAGAAATCGAAGATTATGGCTAGCGGTGGTTTCAACCTGAGAAAATGGAACTCGAATTCTCAAACACTGTTGAAATCGATTGAAACCTGCGAGAGTTCGCAAGAACAAAGGGGGTCTGTTGACCATGCTACTGCGGAAGATGATGAGTCGTACGCTAAATCATCAATCACCCCCGGAAATTCTGAAACGAAGAACGACACAGTGGTTCAGGTTCTTGGAATGAACTGGGACACTGTCGAAGACAATTTTTTCTTCAACTTCACTGATTTGTGCGATTATGGAATGTCACTTCTGGCGACCAAGCGTTCTGTTTTGAAGTTGTCAGCAATGGTATTTGACCCGATGGGATTTCTCACTCCGTGCACTGTGGAAATGAAAATTCTATTTTAGGAACTCTGTCTCGACAAGATCGACTGGGATAGCAATCTACCAAAACATCTTCTTGGAACTTGGAATTCATTACTGAACAAATTGAAGTGTTTGAACAATGTCAAAATACCCCGCTGTTATTTCCGATCAAGGCCTGTGCAATTCGAACTTCATGGATTTAGCGACGCCTCTAACCGTGCTTACGCAGGAGTTGTTTACATCCGATCACTGTATGAAGATGGTGGAGTCGATGTTCGTCTAGTTACCTCGAAAACAAGAGTTGCGCCGCTAAAAAGACAGACGATTCCACGCCTCGAATTGTTAGTGCTCTCATTCTCGCCCGACTCATAAACAGCCTTGATTTGACCGAAGGTAATGTCAAGACCTTTTACTGGACTGATTTGACGACAGCTTTATGTTGGATTAGAAACGAAAAGCCCTGGAAACAACACGTACAGCATCGAGTGGACGAAATTCGCAGGTTAACTTCAAAGAACGACTGGCGTCATTGTGCGGGGAAACAAAACCCAGGGGACTTGCTGTCAAGGGGTACAAGTGCTAAGGACCTTACGAACAATGCAATCTGGTGGAACGGACCTGAATTTCTATACCAGCCGGAGACGGAATGGCCAACAAACGAGTCGACCCATTTTGGAGATGAAGGAGCGCTTAAAGAAGCTGCAAAGAATGCAGTTAATATCACTCATTCCTTGGTGAACAGTACAGCGAACGAACTGACTACCCCAAAGGTTGACAATTTAATTGACATCACGCGATTTTGCGATCTGACGAAATTGCTTCGCGTGACCGCCCTCGTCGTTAAATTTGTAAACAAGCTGAAGAGCACAGTGCCAACCAATTCAAGTTCTGGTAGTGGAACTGAAAATCTTACTGCCCTAGAGTTAACTAATGCTGAGGAACTTTGGATTAAGGCAGTGCAAGCGTCCTCATTTAACGAAGAAATCAAGTTTCTACGCAATCACAGGCAAAAAAAGGCTGTGCCGCCGACTTATGTCTCACAATTTGGATTATTTCTCGAAAATGGTATTGTTAAATGCAAGGGTCGAATAAACAATGCCGAATAAGCCAGCGAAGTTACATAACAAGCAATTTGAAGTCAAAGTTGAATTTGAAGCCTATGAAAACTGAGACACTACACTTGAACACCTTTGGAGTGAATTCATTTCAAAGGCAAAGCTGCGAACTCGTTAGACTCAGACTTTAAAATCATCTTGGCAAAGAAACCGAAATTACTGCCTTGAGTTATCCCACTATTTGCTCACCATTGCCTTCCAAGGTTAAAGTAAACTATCCTCATTTGGAGGGTCTAGCTCTAGCGGATAGTTTAGATGACAGTTGTGGAGACATTGATATCCTTATTGGATCAGACTATTATTGGGATTTGGT